TTCCTCCTTCAAGATGAATGTTTAAGGTACACATACTTTGCTAGCTGACAAAATGGGGTCATTGCTGTATAATTATTCTCTTTTTGCAGCCTTCATTCAGACTGGATCTATTGATTTAAATTATTTGAGTTTTCTTCCAGCTCTTTGATGACGGAACATCATTAGATTTATACTGTAATGATTCACTCTTACAGCTTTCACCCTAGTTTTGTCTGTTGATTTGATTTGTTTGAATTGGTTTTCAGCTCTTTGGTGTTGGCAGTCGCGGGCGATCAATTTTGCTCATGCTCATGCTCTAAGTTCATTTTCAGCATTTCGATGATGGAACGTCTTCAGATTTATATTATAATGGGGCTTATTACGGATGTCACATCACGGTGAAAAGTTGTCACTTGTCGTCACGGTGAAGTGATTCCCATTTGATTTGTACGGTAATCACGGCTCTTATTCTGAGTATCACTTGCTTATCACCGTGTAGTGACACCCGTAATAAGGTCCAATGATATACCATTTGGTTTTGGCTTCGGGGAAATTCAAGTATAATGCATGATAACACTGATTCATTTAAAACCATGGTCGCATCACTTATCAAGGTGAATCCTGATCCAACGAACCCAACTTACTAACAAAATCTCCTTTCCTGTGTCTTTTGTTGGGGTGCAGAGGTAAACACGGCCCACAAACAACAAAGGTCACTCTTCCCTACTCCCACCTGTTTGCAAGGACGTGGCCGGCGCCGTATCATATAGAGTCACTGAAACTTGTACAATGAGAATGGACAGTCACTCCCAGGCCCATTCAGTTGATTCATTGTACAATTTCACTGATTCTGATCAATCACGGAGTAGCAACCATTGATATGTGCAGTCAATCTAAGCTAAGCTAGCTATTGGTTATCGTATATGTTTAGTGTTTATAGTAGTTATTGTTATTGACTTTACATCATTTAATATTATTGTAAATTACATTTTATATACTTAATTCTTAATGTTAGCTATTATGAGCGACTCCAGGGAAGCATAGTGCCAGCTTGAAAAGAAATCTGAATCGTTCATTATCTGTTTTGTAAAAATCTTGTGTTTATTGTATCTTGTTACATGGCATTATAACGCATTTTCAATATTATATTACATTTAAATAAGTATTAACCCGGTAACACACATTTCAGGTTATCCAGGTCTTAAATAATATGGGATCCGTTCCTTTTATCAACAGTTGTGATATTGTATCATATGCTGAAACTATATGAATTATCGCGTATTTCTGTTGTTCATTACAGACCAGGTGAGGGCTTAATCATGTTTTGCCGTGGAGTATTTTTGTTTTGAGATGCTCGATGACCTTAGAGGGATCGGTTTTGCTTAATGAGCAGAATATCATGGGTTTAATCCCAAGCTCTCCCACAACATAACACAACACAAAAATATCAAGTATCATTATAGCTAAAAATATTTATTTGCGTAATATAATCTGGAAATTTCAGGGTTACATCTTCCTTATTGGGAGCTGAGGAGACATAGAGCTGCATCATATTGTATGTAAAAAAAATATTATTTTCATTGCAGAATACCAGTTTTTTTTTTATCCATATAATTGTATTTTCATTATTACGCATTTTAATGTTCTGATATATTTCATGTCTCCATTTGGGTATCATGAGGGAGCATCAGATTATCATTTGACCTGGAACTGGACGATTGGAGTGGTATGACAACCGGAGTCTAGGAAGGAATAAACACTATCATTTTCTTTATCCTACCGATTCGATTGTGATGGTGTGAATTCTACTCCAACATTTTCATGGAGATTGACGCGCCCTTCTTAACAAACCATCCTGTAGGAAGCTTAATAAGTATTGCGAATTGCGTTATTCGATTTGTTGGATCGTATCATTGGAAGGAGATTCGTACATTTCGCGTAAGTGCCTCTGCTTACGGGTCCACCCCACCGTTTTTGGCCCTTCATACAGCGATATTGTGAATTCAGATCGGTAGCTCAAATTGATCTTGCTATTAAGTGGAGCTGCATACAAGACAAGATCTTCGAAGGGATGGTGGCTACCTTACATACATACATACAATTGATATTTTAAAGCAATAATCAAAATAAACAGACAATACATGAAAAGGCTAGTTGCCAGTTGCTTTCAAGGCTAGTTGCCTCCCTAACTCTTCTGTTAATCTACTTAATGCTACTAGGCTGTCTAAATTTTCTTATTTAAGTTTGTTTGATGATTATGATATCTCTAGTCTAATTTAATAAATAATTGAAATCTCTAATCTACCTACCATGCTTTATTAAGTACCTGCACTTGTGAATGTAATCTAAAATTTAACGTGTTTCAAGTTGTTTTTGACTTTGACCTATATTTAATATATATTAGTTCGTCCCAGGTGACACCTTCAAGTGACTAAAATGCTTCACTATGAAGTTAGTTTCTTAGCTGATTTTTAAATTACATAGGGTACATGCTTCAACTACGCTCACACGTTTCCACTATGTCGCACCACAAACATACGTATGTCACAATAGAAGCACGCCACAGTGGAAATCCCGAGCCATAGTTCAAACACTTATCCCAAATCAAAATGAAGCACATATAAGATTAGTTGCAATACCATGTACAAAAATGGTGTTTAATATTGTTCCCTGAGCAATACCTCAATGAAAACAACAACGAAAGCTTGTCACGCAAGTAGAAGGAGCACTGTTGGGCACTTTCTGATATATTTCAATAGTATAATTCCCTTGCAAACCCAAATAAATCTATCTGTGTAAAAATAAATAAAATAAGAGTGATTTGCGGCAAAACCCGCCAGTATCGCACCCAACGTCAGTGCCTATACGTAAGCGTACTACAACGCGGCTTTCAAATAAAGGAGTAACAAGTGTGATACTATCACTTCAGGCTAGAACTTTGGTTCTCTTATGCAATGGTTCATCAGAGAGGGGAAGCTCAGTAATCCTCATCGCATGCTCATGACGCTATTTTGTCACGGCATGAGCCAACGATGCCGGACCTAAACCAACAGTCTCCAACGCTCCACTATGAAGCATAAGACTAGGCCCGCCCACCAACGTCCAGGTTAAAAAACTAGCCAAGGGGAGGGAAATCAGTGAAAGATTTAAATATCTGGAAATTTATTCTGAAAATGTACGGACCTAGTTAACCCCATTCAATGATACAAAACAAATTTGTCGATTTGATTGATTTCCTTCGAGTAACGGTCATTTGAAATTTTTCCTATTTTTTCAGCTGTTCAAAACCCTGGAAAAATTTACCGACTTCGGTGATCCGAATTCAGTGTGTAGCCAGTATTTTCTATGCATACAGGTCCAGCAATCGTTTCTGTTTGGACCCGAATGCAAACATTAACTCTAAACACACTTTCTTTCGCTGATCCATGTTTCTTGGGTGGGGAAATTGAGACAAGTAATATTGACTTTAATACATTGATTTTTACATCAACGCTTCTTTTGCCATTAATGTTGTCAATACTCGTATATTGATGATATTGATGGCGAAATTGACGGCTTTTTGTCAATACATTCTGAGTATTAATAAAGTGAAACTAAAATCAGCTTTTTGTCAATACTTGTCATCAATCATCGTCTTCAATATCACCTTTTCAATAATATTGTCGGTATGTCAATATATTGTAAATATATTGATATGTGTAATGGGCGCTTATAGATGCAGCGTGAGTAAATATGAGAATGAGAGAGGGAAAATTAGAGAGAAAGAGAGCGAGTGAAATAAAGGTAAAAATTATTACAGTAAACTCGTTGTACCTTTATCATAACAATTAATGCTGGTTAGTTGCTGTAGTAACTGGAGCACCTAGGTTAATATAAAATGTAATTTATTTTGAATTTGGAACAAATTAAAAAAAAATAAACATGACTCATGGAAAATTTGAACACTAGTTTTTTTTTTTTTTTTTGGGCCAGTCTAATCCGGGTATCCGACGATCCGGAAATCCGGATTTGGTATCCGGATACCGGTTGATCATGATTTTGAATAACTGTCGTAGGGGGCGTGTTCCAGCTATGGCACTAGTGGTCCTCTAATTAGCCATACGGCCTTAATTTTTTCATAAAATCAAAATTTCTTCCACAGGAAGTTAGTCTACGTTGAAAAAATATCGAAAAACTTATTTTGAGCATGAGTAAGGCCGTTAGAGGAGCACTAGGGAGAACTTATATTTGTATTCGGATATCCGGATAGCTGCAGCACAAATGGTATCACTGTGCTTGCCACACAATACACAAATACAAAAAAAAGCTTTCAATTATCAACTGTGCCAGTGCTCGTTCAGTGAACACAAAGCTGAGAGCAGGGAGTAAACCGATTGGGTAAAATTGAGATGATCTAGCCAACTGGCTAAACATATCAATAATAAAAAAATGGGTAAAACAATGTCCCAAAAAATATGAAGGGGAATATCGGTTCGTTTCCAAATTACATAATAATAACCATAGCAATCATGCATGCATTCAAATACCAATGCATAGAGCAACAACATAGCAAAGTTACAATGGAGACCCACTATCCACCAACACGTGTTAAGAACCATGCGCTCCGTCAGCAGAAAAACAAATCTCACCACCAACATCCAGCGCTGCTTGCTATCGTTCATTACATCGATTACTTACATCGAAACGGATGACACGTTGCTCTGTTATTGCGAGTGTAGCTCTTTGTGTAGCGGCCAGCCCCAAACCTCTGCTCCCATCACCAACACCAACATCCACCCCGAAACCTACCCCGTTGTTGTAGGTGGTTCTCAATCTCGCATTCAACGGTAGTATTATTTGCCTCCATCACATTCACTACCAACGTAAATTGCAATTTTACATTGTAAGTTGCACACTAAACGGTGAGTGAGAGACTTTCAATCCACTGCGAACGAAATGAGAAAAGAGTGAATCTCATCGCACACAGCAGAGCTGATCCCCTTTTGTAGAAATTTACCCCACACATTCGAATCGTGCTCAATCGTTTGCTCACTCTCGCAGCAGCAGCAACAACAAACTGGGGGCGCAATTTTCATCAACGATTTCGGTGCATATTCTGTAGGACCATTTTTTGGCGGACATTTGTGGTCAGTGTCAAGTGACTAAATGCTTGGAAAATATCATTCGTGGAAGTGTACAGGTCTAAACAATTGTAAAATCGAAGAAGTTTCGTGAAATTTTCCTTCTAGGATACGAATCATAGTGATTTTCTGTGCAACGAGCAAAAACCTTGAACTATAGAAGAGCAGTGGGATACCAACAAAGCAAGCACGAAGAAAGCAGCATGGTGGTGCAAGCAGCACTCTAGCAATAGTGATAAGGCCTGCTGTGATGTAATAGAAGAAGTAGTGTTGTTGTTACACCCTTGGATTATAAGGTTCAAACAATTCGCATAGAATCATGAGTTTGGCGCTAAATTTCGAGCGCAAGTGTCGCACCTGTGGTACGGACATCTTGGAGCTAACGTGCGGCATACCAATCTTCGGCAGCGGACTTCAGCTGGATCATAAAATTCATCGCTATCTGGGCTTGAATGTAAGTAGCCTAGAATGGAAGGACGAGGAAAACGATGCCATTTCGAACTGCGTCATTGGAAAAGCGCACTTCTTGTGCCACTTACATTCACTTGCTGTGGGGTTTGCTATAGTCTGTATGTACGATCTTCTTGGGGAGTGCTACTAGTGAGAGAAAGAGAGAGAGGAACATGCTGAATCCTCACTCAGTTAAACGTGCACTTGGTGGTGTGTTGGTGGTGTTAGTGTGGGTGGCCTTGATTCAAAATACCAGTCGCAATGTAAATTTGATTCCATATCATTCGAGAGAAGTCATAGCGTTTGCGAGAATGTCATGCAATTTTTTCTTATGTTAGTGTATTGATATGCTTCAGTGAAATGTTTTGGACATCGTCAGGTGACGTACACTCGCAAAGCAAATAGTTGTTCACAGCATAAGCCCACTATGACCTCCACTAGCATAGTTCTCTCTCGTTCTCTGGTAAACAAGGTAGGCATTGCTCGAAATGCAATCAAACGAACGAACGAACAAACGAACGTGCGCCAATGTTTACTCTCACGTTTCGTATTGTCGTTATTGTTGTTGTATTCTACTATACACGCTTTAGTAAGAAAATGTTTCTTTGCACGTGTGCTAGCTGTTGCTCCTTGAGCGCGAGGGATACCAATACCACTACAAAACTTCGTCAAGATCGTGGACCAGTTTTTCATAACAACTTTTAAACACAGCACCCACCTATGGCTACTCTCCAACTGCGCGTTATCATGAGTTTTGCACTGACGAACGACGATGACGACGACGACAGTTTATACTGAGAGAGGTATTCAGCATGTTGTCCTCTATGCAAATGCCATAACTAGAGAACTGAGCGGAATGCTCGTAAGCCCTGGTCCATGTGATTAGAGGTGAATAGAGCATGCTTGCATTTTGAAGTCTTAGCAGCCCATGATTTCAAATTACTAAATGAAAGTTCATTAATTGTTAAACGGACAGCAAGCTACTGAAGCAAAAAACGGCTACTGTTGTCCTGTCCTTATTGTATTTCCAATCAGTTCTACGCAATTCTTCTAGGATTACTATCATTCAACTTTGATTCCCGAATTTACTTTTATCTTAGGTCAATCAGCAACTGCCGAAAAAACCAATCTATAGGGAAAAGCGCTATTTCGTCGTAATCGTCCATTTCCGTTATATCGAGCAGAAATAATCAATAATATCAATGATTTAACTGTGCACAAATCGATAAAACGTTTGTCCCGATCCGTTAGTTGATAAGCCACAACATAAACCCTATTATAGCGCATTGTATGAATATTTACACTCATTATTGCGTCGCTTTTCAAATACACTAATGTAACATATCCACCATTTTGAGAAAATCGAAATTTAAGTTCGACAGATTATTATTTTAACTGTTCAGAAACAATACATTTCGCAATACTTTTTTTTAATTTAGTCAGTTAATAATAACGTTGAAAATTCAGTAGAAACGGTAAAATCACAATTTTACTTTGAATTCCATGCTACAATATAGAAAAAAAACTACATACGACGTTTTGACAAGTCGAGTTGTATATCAGACATGCTACATTGGACGATTTTTCTAAATGACATAATCAATGATTGTTATATTGGACGTTTTGTCTACATGATACTAGATTCCCTTTCACAGATTTCAGAGTAGAGTACCTAACTTTAGATTGGCCCCGCCTTTGGAAAATGAGCACCAATCATGTTAGTAACAATCATGTACCCATCAATTGTACATTGGACAATTTTTAATCTATGAAGATAATCAGTAAATATATATCTATGAAGATAATCATAATAAATGAAAATAAATTTGGATGGATGTTTTTGTATCACATACAATGATAGAAGAGCAATAGTTTGAATCGGTTAACTCGATTTGTTTACATTTGTTACTTAGGACCTTTTGAAAAAGGACGCGAGCATTGTTCTCAAAACAAAAGAAGCGCTGGCAAATCCACTTTTTCTCCCATCATCAGTAGAACGAAGAAAATCCAATGGCGTTTCAATGCGTTAGTACGGAATTGAAACTCGTAGGACGAATTTAGAATCAAGAAGCAGTGTTAGATTTTTTTAATAATATCTCAAAATCGTTTACTCTTTATCAAATGGAAAGGCATGGAAAGGTGAATAAATTTAGAAGTTATCTTTGGTGAAAACATTCCATGTTTTGTTCAAACCCTTTAAAAAAGATGTAAAGGACGGGATGTGCTTAGTAGGGCGGAAATTAATTCAAAAACCCTATTATGAAAAAAAAAATGCTTATGGAGTTTTAATAAGGTACACCGGGGCGTAGGGAATTTGAAACGGGTAGCTTATCTTAAAGCGGAGTGAATATTCACTTTGACCAGTGATGCCAACATTCCAGTCGCTTCGCAAATTTTAACATGACTTTATCTCATCGTTCACAACCATCACAAATGGTTTTTATGATGCAAAGTAGACGTAATAATTATTTAAAAATTAAATTTCGGGTTTAACGGACCGTCCGGTATTCGAAACATTGCGATATCTTGAACATTTTCGTAAGTAAGCCCAAAATGTATGAAAATTAGTCTTTGTGCACTTTGCCATGATTCAGGTAGAAATTTTATTAAAAAAAATCATTGTTCTAGAATTAAATTTCCATTCCTATGCCTGAGATAGAACTGATCGTTAAATATTAAAGATCTCAAAAAAGTATTTCGATTCCATCTAGCTCTGCTGTCATAAATTTTTTCTTAAGTTTGAGATCCTTAAAATTCCGAGTGCTATGTGATTTCATTACAAAAACCTTGAACAAACGATCATGGCTTAGTTGGAGATGCTTAACGTCAAATATCAGACTTAATGTGGTCATTTTATACGATAAATAGATAAGGAGATGAAAGTATAGAATTGCCGTTAGAGTACGGCAATGTGAAAATTGTGTATAGAGATTAAAAATCGAGCAAAGGACAATTTTGAGGAAGGTACGAATCGGGTTGATCGTCCCCTTTATCAAACTCGCTCGTTGGATATCATTGCTTGTTCAAAATCAGTTTGCTTTTAAGGCTACCATTATCGAGGTAGCAAGCGTTGTAATGAATTAAATATAATAAAATTGAATGTTTCACCATTAAAATAATAGTTAGCCTCACTATAATAGGTTAACCGTAGTTTAACAAAACAAAAAATGCAACAGGCCTCCCTTAGGCCCCTCCAGTAAAATTTTCAAACTACGCCAATGATCTTCATCTCCTCATTTTGCTTAGTAGAATTCCCTCAGTTTTCCAGGATTTTCTGAACTTTTACGGAAAATTTCCAGGTTTATAAGAAAGCTGTTTTCTAATTGCGTTAAAAAATATGTAATTTTTGATAGTTCAACAACTTTTTTCCACACACGATTTTAAGGCATGGCAATCAATTTTTAGAGAAAAAAATTACTATCAAAACTTAATATTTACTTATGATTAACATTAAACATTTACTTAAGTTTACAAAGTCAAACATCTCATAACAAATCAAAGCCTTGAAGTTTTGAACACCAAGTTCAAGATTTTGAAAATTTTCAGAATCCCAGAACTAGAAGAATGAAGTCTCAGACATTTGATTAATTTCAAGTTCGCATATCAAATATGTATGCTTTTAGTTTTGGATCATGAAAACTTCTCATGTTGTCTTATCCTGGGAATTTCCGAGGGGGACTACTCTATCTACGATGCAGAAAAGATTGTGTTTTGCTGTTGCTAGCTGCACGCACGCTGAGTAGATAGAAGGAAGATTTATGTCGATTTTGAAGATTTCCTGCAAAAAGATGAAGCACGATGCAAGTAGATGCGAGAAATGAAAGATGATTTTTCGAAGATTGATTCGCTAGTGTGAGATTTTTTGAGCATCTGGAATTGAGATTTAGATGTGTCGCCCCCCTCGGGAATTTCTTCATATCCGGAATATTTCATTTTAAATAAAACTATCTTGAATGCTGGATCATTCTATTTTCAAAACATCAATCTAAAAAAAATCGAAACAAATTGACAGCTTTGTCCCATACAAAGTCCCACCGAAGGGCGCTAAGATGGCGATTTTTGCTAATGTAATCGCATTTATTTAAAATAGTTCTAATGCATCAAAAATTATGAAATTTTGGATTTGATCAGATCCACGCCTAACAGATCTTAAAGCTTACCAGAAAGTCTGAACTTTTTTTTATTGTTCCTGGAACATCGCTGAAATTATTGGACCCACCCTTAGGATCTCTAAAAAAATTCCCAAAAAATCCCAAGACCTAGCTTCTCGAAGATACTTGGAACTTCTTTAAAGTTTCAAAAAAATACCTCAAGTACTCTCCTCTCAGATGTTCTCTTGATTTCCCTGAAGTTATCTGGATATCTCTGAAGTTCTCATAACTTCTTAACACTTCGAATACGGTGGGTAAAAAACTTTACGCCGACTATGAAGCATCCGAAAAACGTGTAACGGCAAATTAACAATATTATTATTATTATTATTATAGTCACTTTAACACTCTTGGGTCATTCGTGACTTGTCCGGGGGTGAGATTTGAGCTCGTGACTTTGGCGTGAGAGGTATGGATGTTAACCACTACGCCGGGATCGCCTGTCATTTTTGCCTGTGGACTTGGAGACATACTTCAAGTCCCCGCGTACATCGTACGGGTTAGGCAAAAATGTGCGTCTATCTTGAAAAACTGTCGCTTTAATGGCCCTTCGCTCATTTTCAACTTCTATTCAATTTTCATACTGCCGTACTCTAACGGAACTATCCACCTACCCTCTTCTAAAGATCATTCTCTAGCTAATAAATCATCACACTAAAGCTTCATGTTAGCATTTCCAACCAACTCTGAAAATCGTTAACTTCGCGTATGAAGTAACATAAAAAACACTTTGAATGTAATCAATAAATGGCTAAGCTATGCCATTGCAAACTTGCCGTTACACATTTTTCGGAGGCATCGTATTTGGAGTGTTAAAAGATCCTGCAGTTTTACTGAAACTAATGGAACCGCCTTAGAATTCTTAGATTTTCCAAAAAAAAACCGGATCTTCCTTTATGTATGTTCTCGCAGGTTGTTTCTGAAACTTCTATTAAATTCTCGACATTTCCTTTCATTCCACAGAGCGTTTTTAAAGTTCCTACAATCTTAGAGAGGATAATGGGACAGTTCTGAAGATCTCTTATCTTTCCTGAAGCTCAGGGAACTTCCCTGAAGTTCTCACAATTCTCCAATTCATGTTCCTGCAAATACCCTGAAATAAATGGAACTGCCCAAAAGATTCTTCAACTATCCTGAAGTTTTCTGGACTTTCATGAATACCTTGGATCTTCCGAGGCGGACGACTCTATCTAAGATGCAGAAAAGATTGTGTTTTGCTGTGGCTAGTTGCGCGCACGCTGAGTAGGTAGAAAGAAGATTGCTGATGATTCTGAAGATTTCCTGCAAAAAGATGATGTGCGATGCAGATGCGAGAAATGAAAGAAGATTTTTCGAAGATAGCTAGTGTGAGATTTGTTGAGCATCTAGACTTGAGATTTAGATGTGTCGCCCTCCTCGGGATCTTCTGTGAAGTTCTCGATTTTTTCTTAAGTTCACTAAACTTCTCTCAAGATACTTGGACTATCAATAAATGATCGGAATTCTTAAAGGTTTCCGCTCCTATTATCCTGAAATCATGTAACTGCCCTGAAGTTTTCAGAATTGCCATGAAGCTCACTGAAAAAATCTTGCAATTTTCCTGAAGTTACCAGAACTGCACATTGGTCTTTTTTTTCCATTGGTTTGTTTTCCGTCGATCTTGTTTTCCGTGCTGTGCCACGCCAGGGATGCAGCTCCCACACCTGAACCCTACCTATCGACCCATCAACTCATGAACCGGGGACGGCTTTACTTACCTAGGAAGGCGCCTTATCTAGGAAGGCGTGATCAGAGATGTTATGCCTCAGAACATCACGCTTACCACTACACCACCGGCGCCGTTACACATTGGTCTTAACTGAAGAGAAAAAAAAATCCCCAGAATGAACCATTCCCTATTATTTTTTGGATGAATAGTTGTTATCCGCTTATAATGATTTTTGCATCATATTTTGGCTTTGTAGGCTCAGAAAACATTGAAAATTAGTTGTTTGAGTCAAAGTTTTTCCCGTCAATGGATGGCAATCGATGTCCGTCGGTGATTGGCACTAGATTGCGGAACAGAGACCGACGTTAAATAAAAGAAAGAAGAAAAAGAAGAGTTTTGTTTACCTCGTCCTCCTCCTCCTCCTTCTCCTCCTCATCCTCGGTGGTGTGTACGAATTCAAATACTTGCGACTGTGACACTTAAAGTTTGACAGCTCTTTACTGAGTGTCCAGTACTGTTTATGTTAGCTGAATTTTTCGATAAAATATCGTTTGCTGTTTTTCAGTAAAGCATTTTTGTTTTGCTGATCATGACCCAGCAAACCGTTTAACTGATATTGAACTCTAAAATTTGGTGTGTAAGTCTCATTATTCTTAAGGTACAAATCAGATTGGATTCACCCTTTGTATATATTAGTATGCTTTAGCGATTTGAGCTTATGTATTGGTTATGGTGCAAGGATACTAATACAGATACTAAACTCGTGTTTATTTTCTGAAAGGTGGGAAGTATTGTAATCTCGCAGATTTAAATTTAACTATAAGATTATCTGAGAACGTAATGGCATGCGTTAAGTTCAGATTCAAAACAAACTGATACATGTAAGAGGTCGTTCACTTATTATGTAAGGGTTTATATGGGGGAGGGGAGACTAGGATTTTCTTATTTTTAGGATTTGTTTTGACATTTCTCGAATTTGTTAGGAAAAAATCAAATACTGAAATAGTCTTACGTAATTAATGGACGGCCCCTAAATAATAGAAATAAGCTTATTGATACTACACTCAAATAATTTGTCACATAAATTTCACTGGAAAAACACGTAACCTCAGATATTAAAATTTGTCCGTAAAGTACATGACGTTAATAAAATTTATTACAAATCGCATTAAAAGCAATGTAATACGCTTTGAAACTTAGATGAATATATATAAGTTTCAAATGAATTTCATGTAAGATAATTTCACTTAGATTCTACATGAATTTATAGTGTGAAAATTTCTGAGTGGTGATGGCACAAACAAAACCTAACATGCACAGCAAAAAAAAAATGTAATATCGATCAATGTAAATCAAGCTGATGTATGAAATAATGATGTAATAGCAGAAAGCAGATACAATATTACATCAATGGATGTAATTTTGTTCGCAAAATCGATGTACATCGTACAACGTTATATTACACAACCGATGGATCGACCTGGTGCTGAATGCTGTTAAATTGCTGTTGAAGAAACTTATTAAAATTTAAATTAAAACATAATAAAATTTACTTAGAAAGTACCATAAAATCTATGTTGTTTTCTAGTGGATTGGGCAAAGATCTTTTCACTTTGAGTAATTTTCACTTAGATGCTACATTAAAATAAAGTAAAATTTATTTCCAAATCCTATACTACCTATTAGAGTTGTATGTGGATTTAAATTAGAACTTTCAAACCAATCCACATATGCAAAACGTAAAATTTACGTGAAAACTAGATGGAAAAAATCTATATATGTTTTCATGTAACATCTAAGTGAAAAATTTTCTGAGTGTAGTATAGACACATCAAACACCATGGCACAAACTGTAGTCAAAACTGTTATCAGAAACCCTTCACGGTAAGAAAAAAGTACCCAACGGCCAGTTCACTTTTACCTACTTTTGACTAGTTTGTCTCATTTTCTCCTTCTAATGTTGTCAAAAAAGAAGGAGCAAAACCACCCAACAGGGGTAGTAAAGTGTGGGAACCCAACGTTGGGTATAATCATATTTACCTACTGTTGGGTACAACTAACTTACTTTTGGTTAAAAAGCTAGTGGAAAATTCCATACGAACTGCACACAAGTAAATCAAAATTACTTTGACCCGCTTTACCTACTTTTGGGTTCCTGCACTATAGTGCCGAGATGAGTGAAAAGAACTTAATTTTTGGTACTTTTTTCTAACCGTGTTCGAGCTTCTCCTCACTTCTGATTTTTTTTTTAAACTTTCCTTTTAATTTCTTTAAATTCTGTTATGCATCATCCTTAGTATTATTTCGAAACTATCTTCTTATGTATTATGTTTGTAAGTCTCTTTTAACCTTCATCTGAACTCTCGGAATATTGATTGACATTAATCATCTATTCTCCTCACAACCAACAACTTTTTTAGAAGCAGCTATAAATTCAGCTTGAGGTTCCCAACAATCAAATTGAGCTAATTAAAAGCTGAATAAGCTATTTTTTTAGCAGGATCACTATGCTTTATTCTATCCCCATTGCTAATATAAATCTGCCAGCAACGTTTACCGAACGTATAGCTTTACCCTCCCCACTAACAAACCTCCATACTCCTAGGGCCCTGCATTAATCATGTCACGCTAAATCGAGGAGAAATTCCCCCCCCCCCCCCCTATCGTGACGTTTTTTTCTATACCTAATGCATTGCTTGTCACAAAATCTTAGACAACCTAATCCCCCCCACCCCACCCTAGAGCGTGACACAATATATGCATCAACCCCTATGACAATTATGAGATCGTAGAGTTCTCTGCATCAATACATTGATAGTGTTGGTAAAAGATCATATGACGTGGTAGTAATTATCAAAGCATTAACTCTAAACATCATTTTTCAGGTTTTATCTTGAAGAGAATTTCTCAGCTTGATAACTCCTTCCGTTTTTTGGCTTTTCATCTGTGCCAATTATTCCTTTTATTGTAGGGGAAATGTAGGTAATGTCGGCCTACATGTCCCCAATTTGGGCCCATCGCTAAAAGTTTGCTATTTATCAATTTTATCTAGATGAACGCGTTATAGGGACGTTACTAATTGATATTTTTGGTTGCTATTGAAAATTAAGTTGATTGCTGAATTTATGTATGGGTCCAAATTAGGGACACTTAGGCCGACATTACCTGCATTTCCCCTATTAAATCATATGTGTACCCATCTCTTCCAGGTCACCCTGCACGACGATCTCCCGAAATTCCTTTGCGCCACCTGCTTCATCAAAGTCGAAAGCATAGACAAATTTGCCATCCTTGCCAAGAAGACCGAGGAAGCCTATCTCGGGTGGTTCAAATGCATCCGTGCCAATCTGGCCAGGCACGTCAATCCCATCCCTCCACCGCTAGCACCGGTGCAGCAGCTTACCCATATACCACCTCCTAGTTCCCCCAGGTCATCGCTTCACATCCCTCCGAAGATCGATTTCAGCGCCCTGAAGCAAGCCGTCGACGAACAGATCAATCAGAAGGATGCGCCGCTGGGTACGGCTCTCAATCCGATTAGGTTGATCAAACCGGAGATTTCGATCGTTTCCTACAGCGATCTGAAACTGGGCCTGTTGATCAAGGATCAGGAACTACTCAAATTGATACTGAAGGCCCTGCGGTGGGCTGAACATGATCAAAAAGCGACGTTTGAAGTGCTGATTCAACGTTTGAAGAATACAACATTTAGGGAGATTTTGTCCAATCCGAACCTTTTGAGGGACAGTGATCTCACGCAGCTCCTGAAGTCCTACATTGGACAGGAGGCGTTCAATAAATTTACCGGTTCCAACAGTAATAGCCATAATGGTGGTAGTAGTATTGATCTCGGTAATAGAGGTGTCACGATCAAACCGATAGTGCACATTTCTTCCGTGAAATCTAATCTTAGCCCGTCGGATATGGGAAGTGTTTCATGTTCCAGGGCTATGCCGATGCTGAAGAAGGAGCATTTTTCGTTCAGTGAAGATAGTGTCACGCAAATGGAAGTAGGTGTCGATCCCAGTTTGTTCTTCGATGACGAAGAAACGCAGACCAAGCCGAAGCCTGAAAGTACACAGAAAATGGATAGCGTTGTCACTATCCAACTCGTTCCGGTAAACCTAGCCAACAAGAAATCTAGCGATAAGGTGGGTATGCTTCGTAGATTTTAACGAGATATTTACTTATTCCTACTTACACTTGTTACTTAGATGATCCCCGCAATTCTCAAGTGTGACGTTCGAAGCAACGGAAGTCAAGTTTGCTCAAGCTGTCCCAAATCCTTCACTACCAGCACTGAACTGCAAAATCATGTCGTAACGAAGCACTTGATCAAACCTAAAAAATCTCTGTCAGAAGCTCCAGCCGAGAAGAAAGTCATTAAAATCAGAGTGAAGAAAAACAAAGACAAAACGCAACTTGAACCCTCAAAACCTCCCATCCCACTCAGTGCTGCGTCGATCCCTATCACCATTCCACCAACGACGACCATTACCGTGATCCCGGCCGCAACGAAACCGTCTGAATCCAAAATACAAATCCCAACGACAAGTGTTCCCAGCAGCAACTTGCAGAAACCAACCGCACCTACAAAAGTGCAAACCGTGAAACCCAAACGGAAGCGTGACGTCAAATGGACGCTCAAGATCGATGCCAGCCTTGCCAAGCGAACCCGCAGTCAGGTCAGCTTGGCGAAGCATTCCAAGCTGTCGTGCACGGTTTGCCGAAAACGTTTCCCCTCCAAGAGTAAGCTCAGCACTCACATGGAATCGCACGGCCCAAAGGATAACTACACCTGTGAAAAGTGCGATCGGGTGTTTCGAACCGCTTCCAACCTGGCCAAGCATAGGCAATTTCATGGTGGAGAGAAGTTTTCCTGCGATCGCTGCCGAAGGGTTTATGCGACCAGCAGTATGCTGAAGGCTCACAAGATTACCCACAGCGATGCCAGACCGCACCGGTGCACGATTTGCGAGAAAACGTTCAAGCGGAATCAGGATTTGAAGGTGGGTATTTTGCTCCTTGGGAGTACTAATTTCGCATTGTTGCTCTTGGGGATGATCGGTTGTCTGAAAGTCTCGGAACTACCAATTATTACTGTGACCTTGTATAATTTCTTAACAACTTGATGGACAGCTCTGAACATCACATGAAAATCCTCTGGGCATCTACTTCAAGTCCTCTTCGTAGAAGTCGTCTTAGCATATCTTCCAAGTTTTTTGGAAGCCTTCTAAATAACTTTCTGGACATTTTGTACAAGAAAATTGCTGAATCTACCTGTAGTACGTTAAACCTTTCATCAAGCTTCGTAGCTTCGTCTGATTATCTGTATATCCTGTTTATATCAGAAGTCTCAGGGAACACCTCATCTGACCTATTATTTTAAATGTTTTCGGTTGCAAATTCATCCATGGTTATGTTCAGTGCTGTTATGGTAAATATAGAGCTGGTTACTATTGTCGCACTCATGTTAAATTCTCATTTGGTGACGGTCGAAGCACGCCGCTCATAAGCGCGCTGCAACCCCGCCCATATGGATTCTACACAGGTGTGTAACTTAGATAGTATTTTATGGCAGCGGCTTGAGGAGGGAATCCTGGATAACGAGCCACCGTGTGTTAAATCAATGAGCGCAGTCGTACGGCTGTAGACCGTCATCAAATTAGAATTTAACATAAGCGCGACAATATAATCCCATTTTGAGAAATTATCCTGCCACACACAATAACTAAATCCCAATTGAGTGCCCCCACCCAACCACAAATCCATGTGCTCCTTTTAAAAAGAGCCCACAATGAATCATATCTTCAGGCCATTTTCCACAAAGATGGCGCTGTTCCACTGGTAGAAAGTAATAAGAATTCGGATATTGTGTGTGGCAGGATAATTTCTCAAATTAGTGTGAGAAATGAACGAGCATCTTTTGAAAGAAGGAAAACTAATGTGATGGCATATTTTATTCGTCATGTCAAAATTCACGAAACCCGTACAACTCGAAAGAACTGCTCATGTTTGAAGGAAATAACAATACTTTAAAATATTGCAGTTTTGCAATTATTGCTTACCAATTTGAATCTTTTAAATTTTAGTGTTATGTATTAAATTTCTTCTATTCCGGATAAACCAAAAATTGCAGTCCTAGATCTCAAAAGGTTTTACAAGTATGAATAGTCTCGAAAAATATCTTAGTGTTGAAAAGCTCAAAAACATAACTATGTCAAAATGTATTAACAGCTGGGTAAGCTGGAAACCAAAGACCAAAATTTACCGGACTCCGTCATTAACAACCCTATTTGGCTTGAAACTGCTCAATAGACTATTTGAGCCCCCACTTAGAACATCAACATTCTAAACAAGATTCACAGTAATTTTGCTAACTAAAATTTGAATAAAGAACTCGCAGCAATTTTTTATTTAAGATAAGAAATCATTAAATGATTTTTTAATCAATTTCCGTAGCCTTTGATTTCATTAAATCCAGCTCTTCAACTTCAGTTGGAAAAACAAAAATAACGATTTCCATTCTTCCAGTTTCACCTAAACCAGCATACAGGAGCGCGCCCATTCAAGTGCCCCCAGTGTCCGAAGTCCTTCGCCAGTTCGGGAAACTGTTTCGCCCATCGCAAGCGCATGCACCCCGCCGAGCTCTCAGCAGCTGAGGAAAAGGACGCCCAAAATTCCAAACCCGGAAGAAAGTAATTAGCACCTTGGTGCCCCGTACCTTAGCCATTCAATCTCAAAAGTTGGTAACCGCAAAATCCCCATCCTCTGTGATACAATAAGTACAATACAACGGTAACAACCCGCAAAATTTCGAAAATGTACAAAGCAAGATTGAAAATTGATTCGTTTAAAACATATATATTATATTGCTAAAAATATGTTCTATTTCTAGCTTTAGCATAACGAAGCGTGAAATGTGTTGAACTTTTTTTTTGTAAATAAGGAATAAACGGAATTTGAAACAGCTCTCCTGGCGCCACTGGCGTTATTTTTCCGAAACCATCTCCCTGCACGGCAAATGAAGCTATTAATATTTGAACCCAGTTCACTCGAATTCGTACAAGTATACACGGTAAGAATAAAATACCCAGCGGGTCAGCTCACTATTACCTACTTTTGACTTGTTTGCCTCCTTTTCTCTCTTTTTTTGGAGTACAGAAAAATCAGTGCCAATATTTCAAAGGGGCGTAATTGCATTTGTAAACAATGGCTTTAGCCATAGATTTCTCGCAAATAAAAGCTCACTCATGAAAAATAATAACACCACCAGGTAGAGGAATGTTATGCATTGTAATTTTGGAGAGGTAAGATATCATTCGCGAGAAATTGACGGCTAAAGTCATTGTTTACAAAAGCAATTACGCCCCTTTGAAATGTTGACACTGAAATAATAAAAGCAAGTACGGGAACAGACCTACTAGGTTGGTTTTAAAATAATAAAGTAGGTGTCTCGACTAAAAAATAATAAACATTGCCACTGAGAATAACTCAGAAAGAGAGTCACTTTTACTCAGTTGTATGAGAAAATTTCTAAAAACTGCAGGTACTCAGAGCTAAGTTCCTGTAGTTTTTAGGAATTTCTCTATACCTTTGAGTAGAAGTGACTCTCTCTATTCGAGGTATTCTTAGTGGTCGGTAGTAGGGTAGGGTATTTTCTATTTAAGATTTAACTATCTTTATTTTTGCATATTTGAAATACTTTTATGATCAGCCATGACTGAACTCAAATTTGGGATGATCTCATTGGCCGTGTACAATGAGATCATCCCAAATTTGAGTTCAGTTTACTCATAAATCGCAAAAAGTGCAGGAACTCAGCGATGAGTAAAGGCCGGCGGACAATAGACGAGTGCACGGATGGATTTGAGTTCACTCGCTCGACAAAAAGTTACACAACAGCGGGGCCCTGTTTACTTAAAATGAACACATGAATAATACTCGCGTAACGTTTGAAACGGGCCTATCAACTTTTGTACACAAAACTTGTTAAGCCCTCTTCGCGCGAACCGAATACGCCCACGCAAATTAACAACACCAGCGGGTAGGAGAAATTCTCCCCTTCCCGATAGTGCTCTTGGTTTACGTAAGCATACTTCGGTTCTCGTGAAAAGGACATTGCAAGTTGTTCAGAAAAATTGATAATCTATTTTCAAATGTTATGCGAGCATTATTCATGTGTTCAATTTTAGAAAACAGGGCCCCGCTGTTGTGTCACTTTTTGTCGAGTGAGTGAACTCGCAAATTCATCAGTGCACTCACGGAAAGATGGAACAACTCAATATCGAGATAGAAAAGTACTGCAAAATAAGTACTCCGCTATCACTGGTCTTTTGGATGAAATTTCGTTCTCATTGATGGATACTTTTAACTTACTCTGAAGTATAACCAGAACACTTACTTTTCGTTAATTTTACTCAAACACTAGTCTGAAGAGAGATCTTATTTATGAGGACATTTTATCTCGATTTTGAGTTAATTTTTTTTCTTCGCTTCGAAAGTATCCAAAATCAAGTGTTGCGATTGCTCTTAATTTTGGATGAAAATTCGCAGCGTACGCCATATTTATTTCGTTTTCGATTTATATTCTGGCGGAAGCAACAGAATTTCGTGACCTATAATCGGTAGTGCATAAGGTAGTTAATTTACGTTACCATTGAACTGACATACTGTTCGATGGGGTAAGTTTTCAACATTCATGTGAATTGATCGAAGTGTCCAGTTGTGGAATACCTCAGTCTGGACAACGAACATCCACACATGGTCAATATGGAGCACAAAATGGGTATCTACAGCACCAGCTAGGACGCACCGTGACGAAAAAGGAAAAGTTGGTTAGAAGAAGAAAATTTCCAAAGAAAATATCAATGTTAAATTTATGTATCGATCCTTAATTGTGTACAAATTGATAGTAATTAATAAAAATTAAGTTTTATTTATAAGAATGCTTAATTTAAATATTGAAGAGAAATAATTTCATCCAAATTCTTGCGATAAAAAATCCTGAGATAAAAACCCAACTTTAAGTATTTTTTACCTAATAGTCACTCTTTATGCAACAGATACCTTTTAAGCAAGCATCACACGGGCAAAAATATTGTCAATACTCAAAAGTATTGACAATCATATTGATACAAATATTGACGACGGAAATATTGATGAACATATTGACGTAAAATTAGAAAAGTTTGATTTCATGTTTCAATATTTCCCCTCATTATCTCCTTCTGTTTGACTACAGCAGCAGATGGTGCTTGTTTCTTGGCAACTTTTGTCAAGGTGGTTGTGATTTGACTCGCAATATTCCATCGGATACATAAATGTTAGTGAGGAGCGACCCTGTATTGATGAACCCCAGAAAATATAGTAGAAAATATTGACATAAAATTATTGATGGAAACATTGACAAAACATCTGTCGTGTGGGGTGCACTTTACTCAAAACGTTGTCTTTGCAAAATACTTAAAATTGGATACTTGGCAAAGAACTCAATTTTTTCTGGTTTTCTTGACACCTAAGATGAGTGCAAAAGACTTAATTTTGAGTTGTTCCGTCTTTCCGTGCTAGTCTATGGATACGTTTTTAGGTTTTTTGACAGTTGCATTATCTGTCAAAAACCCGAAAACGTATGCATTGTGGGCCGGCCTTAACTTTGCCTCATGTTTTCTTGTGTAAAAACTTGAAAATCTGTCGGAAAATTCGGAAAATTGACGAAAATTTTCCCCAGTCTAGGAGTAGAATGAGCTAAGCCAATCTTGACTTTTCTCATATTCGGGATTTTTTCCTGGAAAAAAAAACTGGAAAAACTCAGGAAAATTTACTCAATGCTGAGTTCCTGTCTTTTATGTGATTTATGAGCAAACTGAACTCAAATTTGGGTCGATATCATAGGCCTTTTGTCTAAATTAACTTTAACTTTTGAAATGTCTTCGTCATCACTTCTTCTGGTGCCGTCTCTATAGTCGCTATATTCATAGCCTGGCGGATACAATCTCGGAAACCAATTAACCACTTTATTCGAGCACTTAAAATGACGTTTACTACCACTCGAACTTTGAAATAAAACATTATTTTGAGATTTTCTCTTCTAGAACCTCGAGAAAAGTAGCCAATATTTGTGCGTTTAATAAAAAAATATAGAAATTATTTGGTCCAGTTTTGTGAAATCGCTGGTAGAAAGTCATGCTAAAACTGATTGACAAAGTGGTCAATTGAGCTGATTAATAATAGTGGAACCAATCGAGCAAATCACGACCAACATCAGAAAAGAGCACATAAGCTATTGCGAACAAAACTTCGGAACCCCTTTCTCGTGATTCAAGGCTCGCCTACGCAAACTAAGAACATCTTTGGGCTGGGGAAGTTTTCCTTATCCTATGATGCTAGCAATTTGCGTACGATTGGCGAGGAAAGAATAATCAACGCTTTGTTTATAAAAGTTGGTTGCACCTTTTCAATTGTTTGGCTACAATATATTGGATTGATTCCGCTTTCTGATAGATCGAAATTCTATCCGCCAGACTATAAAATAGCGACTAGAGTTCGTGAAATCAAATTTATTTGATCACTGGTGCAGAAAACTTGTGAGTATTTTAAAGTTCATTGCATGCATTTTGTCAAATGTAAAATTTACCGAATTTTAAATGGGTTAATTTTATTCGTTTAAATATACCTGTCAAATCATTGATTTCAGGGTTGCTTCCACTCACTTGCTATAAAATAATGATTTTCTGAATTTTGAAATTATTAGATGTTATAATGATACTTTGTCTTTGTTAGATACAGTGTTCGGAAAATCATTCTCAAATCTCATTCATTGAGCCTCCCTACGAGAATAAACTCGCGTGCGAATGCGGCAAACAAAAGTCACGCTTGAGATTCGCATGCATATTCACGCACTCACACTCATAACACCGAAAATTCATTCCAGCTTTAAACTCATAAAAACCACTCAAACGTCAATTTATATCATGCCTATGCATGTTGTGTTAGTTTTTCAACCCCTGATGCACAAACAATAGTAATGATGATGAATAACGCCAACATATAAAGCAATGAATTTTTGAACCTAAAAACTCATCGGTGATTTTTGCGACGTTGAATTTTGCAAGGCAAAACTCATACGCACATAAACTCATGCTTGACATTTGAGTTTTTGAGTTTTTCCGAACACTGGTTAGATACAAGAAGAGGCTGAAAGGCAAGTGTTTGACACATGAAACCAGTCAATTTCACTTCCAGAGTGTTAAAGTCAGCAATTTTATGATTCGTGAGCGCTCACTCAGAGTGAGCGCTCGCGAGTCGTCAAATCGCTATTAGTGATTATTTGAAAGCAAATTTGACAGGTTTTATGTGTCAAACACTTTCCTTTCAGCCTCTGTTTGTATCTAACAAGTACAAAATAATGAGATAGAGAAGGATTAGTATTTTCCATTTAATTCCACTACTTTATTTGCTTATCCTTGACAGATACGCGTATTTCGTCTACAATGTGCAGACTTCTTCAGTGTCTTGTACTAAAGTTCGACTCGAGTATTAGTACAAGACACTGAAGAAGTCTGCACATTGTAGACGAAATACGCGTATCTGTCAAGGATAAGCAAATAAAGTAGTGGAATTAAATGGAAAATACTAATCCTTCTCTTTCTCTCATAATACAGGTATTCCACTAAGACGCCCACATTCATCAGGAAGTACAAAATATCATTATAACATCTAATGGTTTCAATAATCAAAAAAATCATTTTTTTATAGCGAGTAAGTGGAAGCAAGCCTGATTGATTTTCAAGTTGTCCTGTTGTGCTTGTTGTTGTGCTTGTTCCATGAACAACTTGCGAGTGTTATGTCTGTTTGTCTGTGATGAAAATATGACATATAATACCGATATTTTTATTTGCAAGATACAAGAAGGGGAGGTAAAGTTTTTGCATGAGACAAAAACTTATCAATTTGACTTCCAGAGTGTCACAATAAGTGATTAGCTACCCGAAAAAAATAACCATACAATTAGCATAACATAAAATTTACTCACAACAAAATAAATTGCCAACAATCGATCTTATTGCATGTATATCATACAAGTAAATTGAAAATATTTTTATTACAATAGATCTACAATACATGAAATAGTAAAAAGGCTCAAGTTTGTTCGCGAAAATTGATTTTTTGTACGGGTAAGATACATAACAACCCCTTGTTCTATTGTATATGTTCCCGTTTACCATAGATTCTACTGTGGTCCACAGTCTGTGGAAACAATAAATTCTTTAATCATTTTATCGTTGTGAACCATACGATTTAATTTAAATTCAATAAATGATATTGTATGGTTACAATACATTTAATCAAGCTTGCAAATGCTCATTACATCTAAAATGCTATTTTTCGGGTTTATGAAGCTATGAAATATTTTATTGGTAATTCTTATTTACAAGATGCGAAAACAGAAGGTAAAGTATGTGTATGACACATAAAACATGTCAATTTTGCTTTCAGAGGGTCATCACAATAGCGATTAGCTATAAAGGGCCACCCACAATAGTCCGTCACCGTCACCGTCAGTGTCAACTGACAGCTTGGTTTGAGCCAACGCTATTCAGTTTAGCAACCCACAAAGATGCGTTGCGCTCACTGCGCGCTAGTACTAAAACGCTGACGCTGTGCTAAATTTTGAAAATTTTCAAAATTGACGCAGCGTCATGTTGCTGTTTTGTCACATCAGCGTAATCAGAAGCGTATGTTGTGCCGTGTTGCTTTGAACACGTCATGGAAAACATTGTTAGTAGGAATTTGCATTTGTAAGAAGAACCAACCCCAATTCCCATTTTTTTTTTTTTTTTATAAAATACAACTAGTGAAATAGCTTTGTATACAATTTAAACTATTGCAATGTTTTATGTATCCTTTAACAATATTGCGTGAATAAATGTTTGGCCATCACATTTCGGTTAACATATGCAGATCGTGTCACATTGTTGCCTCTCTGAAGGGCCGCAGAGGATCAACTACTATAATGTACGTCATTCACCAGGTTGACTGACGTTCCCATCACCATCCCTCCTGGCTCTGGACAGCCGTTGATTGAAGTAGTCTTGAATTGGAGGTAGGTGGTAGGTGTTGACCGGGATATGGCCGGAGCAAGTTATTCTTAAAAGGAAATGCAGCACCCCCAACAATGAAATACGGCATCACTTCATTTGGTAACCTCTGGTAACTTGCCCGGTACTGGCAAATCCAACTCGCTATTCACCAATCGCCTCCCAAATTTCGAATGCTCGGATTTTTTTTTTAAATATTAAATCTTCTACCAAAACAATACTGCGTCAATGCGCCCGTCAGCATTTTTAGTGCATGACGGATGCGTTGAAGCTGAAGGTGACGTTGACGTTGACGGACTATTGTGGGTGGCTCTTAACGATGAGCAACGCGGTGAGCGAGCAATCAGCGATCATAAAATTGACAAATTGTATTAGGGGAAATCTCGGGGGAAATTGCTCTAATGTTGGCCTATGGATCTAAGATTGGGCCCATCGCTAAAAATCTGCTATTTATCAAATTTATCTAGATGCAGGCGTCATTGGGACGGTACTAATGGATATTTTTGGTTGCTATTGAAAATTTAGTCGATTGCTGAATTTATGTATGGGCCCAAATTAGGGACACTTAGGCCGACATCACGATGGAAAATGAACAGGTGGACAGGAACTCACAGTCTCCCAGTGTTGGTGAGTTCTTTGCCGTTAATATTCACGAAAAGTTCACTATTTTGCTATACAGAAATTCAAAACAAAAATTTTATCTGCGGATTTGAACAGTTTTTGACCTGTTTCATACTACCGGAAGGTGTATGCTGGTCACAAATGCCGTGCCAAACTGATTTCCTACTCAATTAATCAATCTTTGATGTGAAATTCGCTAATAAATACGAGGCGCATTTCGTATAGCAAACATGCCATAACAAAATGGGCATGGTTCATTTAAGTAAACAAACTAACACTTCTTCCGACTGTTACACCTATGTATTAGCCGTCTCGGGCCGACATTACATACATTTCCCCTATATCATATTCAAACTTTACCACCTCTTCTTGCATATTACAAATAAAAACGATCATTATACTATCCTATTGTTTCATAATAACGAAAAATAGCATTTTAGCTGTAATGAGCAATTGCAAGCCTGCATTTAATTGTACCTCTATGGTTCTTTTTTATTATTTTTTTGATCTTCTCAAAACGACTCGTGATTTACTAACCTTTCATTACCGGTGGATTTGATTTGCTAAAGAGTACCTAACGAGGGGGAAGTCAGCTTTCATTTGAGTACCTCTGTTACACAGAGTTTCTCAGAGTTACTCTGATTTGCTCCCATTTGCTCTGTTTTGCAACTGAATGATAATTCGTACACGCTATTTCAGAACTACGCAAATTTGGGTAGAATCCACCCAGATTGGTAAAAACTGAACCTACCCAAAAATGGGTAAACTATGTTGGGATTGACAAATGGACAACATCGATTTAATTCCAGTCAACGTTGTGTATTTGTCAACTTGTCACAACATAGTTTACCCATTTTTGGGTAGGTTCAGTTTTAACCGATCTGGGTGGATTCTACCCAAATTTGCGTAGTTTTGAAATAGCGTGTAGGGCATGTAGTCTTGGTACACTCAAAAAATTCCACACATTTTTATTGATGAATTTCCATGTGAGATTCCACATGATTTTCATGTGTCCACACATAAGCAAAATTCACTCAGAAGTACACATGAAATGGATGTGTTAAAGGAATAGTATGTGTGGTCACACATTACTTTTAAGTCTCATTTGTTGATCACATTGCAAAAATCCATGTGTGGGACACATAAAAACAATCGGTACCTAATATATTGTACATGCATATTTTATTAAAAATATATCACGGATTCTTGAATTCAATACGATTCACTTCGTCATGCGGAGGAATGTAAAACGGGATACAAAAATGGATTCCGTAGGAGTGTTTCATTTGTTTTTGAGACTTTCCAATGTTGCTTTTTAAACTTAAGTATCGTATCAAACGTCGGAATAATTGATTTTGTTGATGTTTTCTGATCAATAAAACTTAAATAGACACATATGTCGAAGTGGTTACGTACCCTATTGGCAACACATCCAAGTCGCAAACCAGACAAACTTTGCTTCAAAGTGTGACAGCCCATGAGAAGGGACGTCAGATGTGACCTTCAAAATACCTTCATCGCAAGGCCGTCGTCGCTCCGGAGCGTGGTGGAATACTTTCATGCATTCTAGCAAATAACTGTTATTTGTTTGGGCACTTTGTGCAATGGATGAAAATCAAATTCGTTAAATTTAAAATGCTTGGAACTTCCCAGCAAAATCGCTAACAATCACCATTTTGATCCGAATTTTACGAGACTTTTAATCCAGCCCAGCCTACTGCTGTCATCACACACGCTTCCCAAGCACGTTCGGCAGCCGTCCGTAGGAATCTTGAGCTCGGTCGTCGCCAACGTCGCACTCATACAAACATAACAGAGCGCGTAGTAAAACAACGGTGTTTGTGCACACATAAACCAAATTTGCAACTTTCATTGACATTCAGTCGTGCTTTCGATTTCGTTCGGTTCGGTTCGCCAAAACATAATCATCTTCTCCGGAGCGCAGAGTGCTGCAGGCAAGGACACTCGAGCAAAAAAGGAAGCAACAAAAAAACTAGCCATACATTCCTGATAGTGGCCACTATCAGTGCTCGTCATTAGGCGTTTGATTTTGCGAATTCCAAATCTCTTTGCTGGTGTTTCGCGTTTAATTTTAGTTTGGTGATTTTTTTTTCTTGTGCTTTTTTTTATTTATTTCGTCTGCCGTGGGCAAGAGAAAAGTGTTAGTAGGTGTGTAGCGTGATTCGATCAATTCGCGAATTTGGGAAGCTGATTGTGATTGTGGAAGGTGAAGGTTGATAAATTGGCGGCAGTGTTGGTGGATCTCGGTGAAACAGTGACACAGTGTCCCAAAGGTCGTAGATTTGCAAAATCGGTAGAACTAGACATTATCAACTACTACTGTCAGCTGTTGAGCGGTGAAATTCCATGATGTCAGCCAACAACAGCGTCGATCTGTTGGAGGACGGCGCCTTCGCCTCCAGCAAAAACAGTTGGAATCGCTACTACCATAACAGCGTTGTCCAGCCACTGCTTACAGGTGAGTCCTACTTTCATCGCACTACTAAATCGTTATAATTAACTTGCTCTCTCAATGAAAGGCTAGGAGTGTAGTACTCTCCTATCAGCTTGCACTTATAGTACAGTGCCTGGCGTTCGAATGATGGTGCCCTATATTTGTCGGTTATAAAATGATTAATACGCTTAAATCTCATCAATTATAAGGGCAAAAGGAAAACTGGTATTGCATAGAGGTAAAAGAGGCTTGTCTCATTAGGCTCTATTTAGCATGTTAAACTTAAAAAAAAAACATAAATTGCAAACCTAATTTTAACAGGGTGTCTACTACCTTGAAACTCCTGGAAAACCGGGAATCCTCAGGGAATTTATTTTATCTGATTCAGAAGTTAAGTTGTCTTTATTAGGGAGGCGTTCAGCCTGAAGGTTGCCTTCAATTTATGTCATCAATATTTTTGACAATATATCTCCTAATTGTTTTATCAATATATTGATAAGTGTAACAGGTACTTTAAATCTTGGTCTATACATCATCCTCATTCTTACAATCTCTATCAGAACTGGTACATCATGAATTGGATTGAAACATTCATGTTGCTTATTTTACTAACCAGGCTAAGGCCCGGTAACTTTTTTGTGGCGGTCGCAATTTTAGATTTTTAATTTACCCCCTCTACCTTCCCGTAAGACGTAGTCTACGTCAAAATATCGGGAATTTCATTGAGGTTCATGAATATTTGGAAAATCATAACAACTTTACAGAAGATCCAAGAACATCTAGGAATTTTTTCGAATCTTCTGCTAAATCCAAGAAATTTCAAAAAAGATTGGGTGATTTTTAGGGAAAATCCGTTAGCATACTTCAGGGAAGATCAAATCAAATAAATAAGGAAAATCGTGAGAAGTTTCCTGTGGAATTCAGGGAAGTCCAGGGAATTTCTGAAAGTCCAGAGAAGTTGAAATGAATTTCAGGGAAATCCAGAGAGCATCGAAAAGTCGATAAAAAAATCACAAAAGCTTCAAAATCTTTACAGAAGTTACGTGAAGTTCGGCGAAGTTCCGAGATTTAAAGGGAAATTGCGGGAACTTTAACTCTGATCCTTAAAATTTTGGGATTTTATGAGAAGTTCCGACAACTTTAGAATAATTCTCACCAATTGGTATGTGATTTGCAAAGATGGAAATGGAAAAATGGAATTGTGCGGACAATTCCAGGTGAATTTTAACGTGAAGCAGTGAAGATGATTTTCTATTAAAAAAATTACTCTAACTAGATTTTCTAAATATTTATGGGACAAATATCAAGTTTTTCTTTTGTCACCCCCCCCCCCCCCCCCCCTTCAAAATTTTGGAATATCACCAAGGGGGAAATAAAATAAAACTTTCAGTGTATATTTTCAGTTGTTGAAAACGGATTTCATCGAACATCATTCCTAATCTTGTTTGGCAACTCACTAGGTAAGCCGCCTTCAATCTGATCGATCCCTCTTGTTCGTTGCGCACATCTTCGTCTTGTTCCAGTCGGATCACTCCAAGAACCCTTTTCATTGGGTCGTTATCCGACATTATTACGTGCCCAGCCCACCGTAGTCGCCAGATTTTTGCATTCGATCTACATTTCTTAACTTACAAACCTTCTGCAATGATACTTAAGGGGGTATTTTTTTTCAAAAAATCAAATTTTTTTTTTCACGTTTTTTTGTACTTTAGACTACATACTTTCATCCCCCCAAGCCGTTTTCCGATAAGCGAATTCGGTGTCCAGGCATAGCTGACTAATGGTAAGAACCCCCCCAAATGGTTTTAACTAAAGTCAAAACTTTAAACGCGTTTTTCTCGAAACCACATTTTTTTATCGGGCGAAGATTTTTCTCAGAAACTATAAGAGATATTGACTTGAATCTTTGCGCATTTTGTTCCTTATTAAATTCTTTGGAGCTTCTCCCACTTTCAGCCAAAAATATTAACATTTAACATTGTTTGAAGCACCTTAAAGTTGCAAAAAAGCGGGCTAAAAATCGCCTGTTTTTTCATATGGCCGCCATTTTGTTAATTTGCAAGATTTTTTGCTGCCAACGGGAGAAGCTCCAGAGAATCTTATGCAGATTATTAATTTCATCACGAAATCTGTTTCAGATGAAGCCGTTCCAGAGAAAAGTCTTCGCCCGTCCAGGCGTTTGCGGCGAACAGGGGTCTGTTTGTCGCCATTTTGTGACGTCAATAATGTCTTTTTTTATGTCGAAAAAAATTTATTTGTAAACTTTAATGTTCAATAAACAAGAATCCCAAAGAGTTAGGCGCATTACTATTCATTTTCCTTGAAAAAAAAATAATTGAAAAACAGGCCGAAAAAAGGCAAAAGATTGGGAATACCCCCTTAATGATTTACTTCTTTTCTACAGTGATTCAACAATTTCCGAGCTAAATCCAATCTTTTCAAAATTGGTTTAAAATTTTTAGAAGTGAGACCAAATTAGAAACGATTCAGGAAATTCCTAACTGAGGTGACACTTTTCAAAGCAGATTCAAAACTGAACTTTTTTGAAGTGAGTTCAAACTTTCGAATAAGTCATCAATATTTTTCTAACTGAGCCTAAACTTTTCTGTTATGTTATTCAATCCTTTGTTAAGTTGTCAAAGCTTTCCTGAAGTGATTCAACATATACCGACTCCAAGCTTTGAATAATTAGTTTTGCTTTTTCTGAAGTTAGGCAACATTAGCTGATTAATCCTTTTCCTAAATGAATCCAACGTTTCCTGCATTGATTCAAATTTTTCCGAACTAAAACCAAACTTGTCAGAGCGGGTTTGACATTTTCCTAAGTGAGCTCCAGATTTTTGTTAACTGCTTTGGCATTTGGCAAGGACACAGTCTTGCTTAGTGAAAGTGTAGAAAGTTTTCCGAAGTGAAGCCTAAATTTCCAAATGGTGTCCAACCTTTTCTGAAGTGGTTCAAAACCTTCCTTAGGGAGTCCAAACTTTTCTGTTGAGTGATTGAATTATATTGAATGTTAGTCTGAGCTTTCCTGAAGTGATTCACCTAACTTTTAACGTAGATTCCGCTCCCTTAGATCCCTTCCTCGTTCTTGTGAGATTCACATCCTTTGAAAATTAGGCTGAGATTTTAAAGAATGGACTTTCGTGTGTTCATACCTGATGGTAGATTTTTTTAAGTAAACACAATTGTTGAGAAAATTGGGTTTACATTCACAAAAAGTACGTACATATTTTTATAGAAATTTGGATTTTATCAGCCAAGTTGGATTTTGGCTCCGTCCTTTGAAAAACAGGCTTGGATGTTATAGAATAGACCTTTGTGATGGTGATGGTGGATTTTTTTGAAGCCAGGTTGGATTTCGGTTCAATCTTTTGAAATTTGTGCTTGGATTTTATAAAATGGAACTTGCTGAATACCGGAAGGACGCACCTGGTTAATATTCACAAAGGAAGGTATTTTCATAGAAAATTAATTTTTCTGTTTTGCCGAACTGAATTTTGGCTTCTATCTTTGAAAAATAAGCCTGTATTTTAATAGATGTTGCTAAATCCATACGTGAGGGTTGAATTTCTTCAAGTTTTGAGAATACCGAGTTTAAATTCACAAAAGTACGTACTTTCACAAAAACATTGATTTTCTGTTTTGCCAAGTTGAATTTCGGCTCCGATCCTTGAAAACAGACTTGAATTTTATAGAACGAACTTTGCTGAATCAATACGTGATGGTAAATTTTTTGAAGCATGCACAATTTTTTAGAAAACTGGGTTTGAATTCTCAAAAGTAAGTATTTTCATAGAAATTTGGGTTTAGCCAAGGTAAATTTCGGAGTGGATTTTACCGAATTGCTGAATCCATACGTATTTTCATAGAAATTTGGTTTTTCGGTTCTGCCAAATCTCATATCTTTGAAAAATAGGCTTGTAGTTTTTAGAATGGACCTTGCTGAATCCATACGTGAAGGTTGAACCGGGTTTGTAATTCGAAAATGTTTTTTTTTTTTGTTTTCCTTTTCTGCTAAGTTGGATTTTGACACATACAAAGCCAGGTTTAAATTGACAAAACTACGTATTTTTATTAAAATTTGGTTTTTATGTTCAGCCAAGATGGATTTTGACTCCTTCCTCTGAATATTACGCTTGAATTGTTGAGAAAACTATAACTGGGTAGGGAGGAAGTATCGAAAACAGAACGTTTTTTTTTCATAAGAACTGTTACGTTTGTGGTATTCCGCTTGATGGTTTATCCGGAATTTATCAATACCCAAAAATCAATTACTTTGATCCTTTTCATCTACATTATTGAAAGGATACAAAAACTTATGCGCGAAATGTCTTGATGATAACTCGAGTGTTACACATAATAAAGTCAACATTTGTGGCCTTAGTGTCAACAATCACGGCTTCAAAGAAGTATAAGGCTAAAGCGAAGGCTAAGAAAAATGTTAGCGTTTGAAATATACGGTTTGGATATAATGTAAAACGATTTTCAAATTTTTTTTTTTTCTTGGTTTATTTTTTATCCTCCCCCCCCCCTCGACTGGTGCTGCAAGCCCCGAGTGACAAAAGAAAAACTTGTGATTTGTTCCGGCCTAATTATTCAGCGAAGTCTAATGTGGATTTCAAGATAGTTCTGAGTAAAATTCCAGGCCAATTCCGAGGAGTGTTCGATGGTAGTAAATCTGAGGAGAGTTTGTACAAGAGTTTCAAAACATTTTTCGTGAATTATTCCTATGCAATTCCTTGCAGAATTTCAAGGCAACTCATACGAGAATTATTTGAGAATTTAGCAGAGAATTTCGCAGTTATTTAAAGCATTGATAAGACACCTTAAAATAATTTAAGAATGACTTTCAAGAGTTACCTGTAGATAATTCCCACAACAATGTGAAGAAAATGAAGGAAATTCCATAGCGCGAAACAGTCTCCAGCAATAGTTTATTCCAAAACTTAGAGAACCTACCGGTTCATATTGATGGTTTGCGATGGCGGACTTCGGTTCGCGACAAAATGGCCTTACAAAATTTG